TATATAAACCCAGGCCACTCTCAGTATTATATAAACCCAGACCACTCTCAGTATTATATAAACCCAGACCACTCTCAGTATTATATAAACCCAGGCCACTCCCAGTATTATATAAACCCAGGCCACTCCCAGTATTATATAAACCCAGACCACTCGCAGTATTATATAAACCCAGACCACTCCCAGTATTATATAAACCCAGACCACTCCCAGTATTATATAAACCCAGACCACTCTCAGTATTATATAAACCCAGACCACTCGCAGTATTATATAAACCCAGGCCACTCCCAGTATTATATAAACCCAGGCCACTCTCAGAATTATATAAATCCAGGCCACTCTCAGTATTATATAAACCCAGGCCACTCCCAGTATTATATAAACCCAGACCACTCCCAGTATTATATAAACCCAGACCACTCCCAGTATTATATAAACCCAGACCACTCTCAGTATTATATAAACCCAGGCCACTCTCAGTATTATATAAACCCAGGCCACTCCCAGTATTATATAAACCCAGACCACTCCCAGTATTATATAAACCCAGGCCATTCCCAGTATTATATAAACCCAGACCACTCCCAGTATTATATAAACCCAGGCCACTCCCAGTATTATATAAACCCAGGCCACTCTCAGTATTATATAAACCCAGACCACTCCCAGTATTATATAAACCTAGGCCAATCACAGTATTATATAAACCCAGGCCACTCTCAGTATTATATAAACCCAGACCACTCCCAGTATTATATAAACGTAGGCCACTCCCAGTATTATATAAACCCAGGCCACTCTCAGTATTATATAAACCCAGACCACTCCCAGTATTATATAAACCCAGGCCACTCCCAGTATTATATAAACCCAGGCCACTCTCAGTATTATATAAACCCAGACCACTCCCAGTATTATATAAACCCAGGCCACTCTCAGTATTATATAAACCCAGACCACTCCCAGTATTATATAAACCCAGGCCACTCCCAGTATTATATAAACCCAGACCACTCCCAGTATTATATAAACCCAGACCACTCTCAGTATTATATAAACCCAGACCACTCTCAGTATTATATAAACCCAGGCCACTCCCAGTATTATATAAACCCAGGCCACTCTCAGTATTATATAAACCCAGACCACTCCCAGTATTATATAAACCCAGGCCACTCTCAGTATTATATAAACCCAGACCACTCCCAGTATTATATAAACCCAGGCCACTCTCAGTATTATATAAACCCCGACCACTCCCAGTATTATATAAACCCAGGCCAATCACAGTATTATATAAACCCAGGCCACTCTCAGTATTATATAAACCCAGACCACTCCCAGTATTATATAAACCCAGGCCACTCCCAGTATTATATAAACCCAGGCCACTCTCAGTATTATATAAACCCAGACCACTCCCAGTATTATATAAACCCAGGCCACTCCCAGTATTATATAAACCCAGGCCACTCTCAGTATTTATAAAACCCAGACCACTCCCAGTATTATATAAACCCAGGCCACTCCCAGTATTATATAAACCCAGACCACTCCCAGTATTATATAAACCCAGGCCACTCCCAGTAATTATATAAACCCAGGCCACTCTCAGTATTATATAAACCCAGACCACTCCCAGTATTATATAAACCCAGGCCACTCCCCGTATTATATAAACCCAGGCCACTCTCAGTATTATATAAACCCAGACCACTCCCAGTATTATATAAACCCAGGCCACTCCCAGTATTATATAAACCCAGGCCACTCTCAGTATTATATAAACCCAGACCACTCCCAGTATTATATAAACCCAGGCCACTCTCAGTATTATATAAACCCAGACCACTCCCAGTATTATATAAACCCAGGCCACTCTCAGTATTATATAAACCCAGGCCACTCCCAGTATTATATAAACCCAGGCCACTCTCAGTATTATATAAACCCAGACCACTCTCCCTCACTGTACGATAAAGGAGTTGAAGATTATGAGTGAGTCAGAAGAAACATTGGCAAATTACTGCGTGGAAACTGATATACCAGTTTGTCCAATTAAAATGGCATAGCGACACATACACACAGTCCCAAACCAACTCAAACCTTCCACCCCACATTGAGGTCCGTCTGTCAATTGTCTGCAGGGACTGCAAATAACCTCTAACAACCCACCAAACAATAATAGACCTTCCTTTATATCAAGAAGGCAGAATTTGCATTAGATATAAATGTATTGATGCAATAATTCTAACTGACCTCCTCGCCGAAAGTCCTACTTAGTGCAGACTCCCTTTGTGACACAGTGATCCTGGTGAGGGGCTTTTGACCTGAAGAACTGGAGCAATCCTTCCCTTCCATTAATCAAACCTGACTACTTCCTGTTCCTCGGGTGCTACGTGACCCATACGGGATTAGTGGTGCTCCACGAACATATTAGATGACTTACTTGATAAAAGGCGAGCCATAAATGGAGACCTGCCCTGGAGAATGCGCTTCTTGACGGCCTTGACAAGCTTAGGTTGAGCCATTAGCTTACTGGTGGCGAGGGAAGGGTCAGCTACCTCGCCTGTCAGTAGACGGCTGACGGTGCGGCCTTTGTCAGCAGTGATGCAGGTGGTCATGATGCCCCATGCCCGTCGCACTTCTGGGGGCGTGAAGGCTACCAGCTCGTGGCCTGCTGCCTGCAAGGCCTCCCGAGCCTCCGCCACAGCTCTCCGGCATCCAGGAGTCGCAGGCAACACGCCATCGAAGTCATACCAGCCAATGCGCAATGGACGGACGTCGGTGTAGAGGTGCTGTCGCCACGACAAGGGCGCCATAGCGGGGTCAGCCAGAAACATGTAGTCAGCTTCGAGCAGTGCCCTCATTCCTGCCACCACTATTTCCACATCACGACCCAGCAGACCCATCGATGGCAGAACTGGAAACACAAACATACCCAGAAGAACATAAGAAAGGAGTAACACTGCAGCAGGCCTACTGGTGTTAACATACTGTCGGTAATTCTACCAACATTAATACAGGCCTACTAGTCCATACTTGGCAAGTCCTTCTCAAACCCAACACCTCTCACTCGTCAGAACTATGATTGTGTTACTGGCGTGTATAATACTGACACCCTGATGGGCAAGACACACGGGCATCACCTGGGTATCTTAATTCAGAAGACGTTTCGCCCACCAGTGGCTTCATCAAATCAATTCAGAGAAGTTAGAGGTTAGGTGAAGGTGTTAAAAAACTGGAGATAGTATCGAACTGATAAAACCACGAAGGACTGAGCCGCGGGGGCGTTGACCCCCCCGATCACCCTCCGGGTAGACTTGTTGGCGAGACGTCTTCAAAATAAAGTTACCCAAGCTTCGCACATCTTTATTATTTATCATTATGTCCCAGACATCATCATTATTATCAAATCATCATCATTATCATTCTCAATCATTATCATTGGCTTCATCATAATTTTCCTCAGTCATCATCATCACTATCATTCTTAGTCATCATTTTCCTCATTACCATCCTCAATTATCATCATCATCATTATCATTTTCAATCATCATCACTGTCATCATTATTATCCTCAATCATCATTACTATCATCTTCAATCATCATTATCATCATTATTATCCTCAATCATCATTATCATCATCATTATCATAATCAATCATCATTATCATCCCAATCATCATTATTATCATCATCATCATCATCATTAATCATCAACATAATCATCATTATCATCATCGTTATCATTAGTATCATTATCATCACCATCATCATCATTATCATCATCCTCAATCATCAACATAATCATCATCATCATCATTATAATCATCATCATCATCATCATCATCATCATCATCATCATCATCATCATCATCATCATCATCATCATCAATCATCATCAATCATCATCATCATCATCATCATCATCATCATCATCATCATCATCATCATCATCATCAATCATCATCATCATCATCATCATCATCACATCATCATCATCAATCATCATCATCATCATCTCATCATCATCATTATAAATCATCATCATCATCATCATCACCATCATCATCATCATCATCATCATCATCATCATCATCATCATCATCATCATTATAATCATCATCATCATCACCATCATCATCATCATCATCATCATCATCATCACCATCATCATCATCATCATCATCATCATCATCATCATCATCAATCATCATCAATCATCTCATCATCATCATCATCATCATCATCTCTCATCATCATCATCATCATCATCATCATCATCATCATCATCATCATCCGAGAGTTCACCCCCCCCGGGGGGGGTTGATTTCTACACAACAACAAGTCTTCACGCCGGTCAAGGGCTCTTGATCCAAGGAATTTTAGCTGCTCTCCTCCTCCCCTTCATCCCCCTTGAATCAAACCTGTTTTACCTCCCCTTCCCCAGGTGCTGTACAACCCCTGCGGGTTCAGCGCTTACCTTCCTATATAGTAATTATATTGTTAAAAGGTTACACTCAGGGTAGAGCTTTATCCAGGTTACACTCAGGGTAGAGCTTTATCCAGGTTACACTCAGGGTAGAGCTTTATCCAGGTTACACTCAGGGTAGAGCTTTATCCAGGTTACACTCAGGGTAGAGCTTTATCCAGGTTACACTCAGGATAGAGCTTTATCCAGGTTACACTCAGGATAGAGCTTTATCCAGGTTACACTCAGGATAGAGCTTTATCCAGGTTACACTCAGGATAGAGCTTTATCCAGGTTACACTCAGGATAGAGCTTTATCCAGGTTACACTCAGGGTAGAGCTTTATCCAGGTTACACTCAGGGTAGAGCTTTATCCAGGTTACACTCAGGATAGAGCTTTATCCAGGTTACACTCAGGATAGAGCTTATCCAGGTTACACTCAGGATAGAGCTTTATCCAGGTTACACTCAGGATAGAGCTTTATCCAGGTTACACTCAGGATAGAGCTTTATCCAGGTTACACTCAGGGTAGAGCTTTATCCAGGTTACACTCAGGGTAGAGCTTTATCCAGGTTACACTCAGGGTACAGCTTTATCAAGGCTTCACTCTGGGTAGAGCTTTATCCAGGTTTCACTCATGGTAAAGCTTTATCCAGGATTCACTCTGGGTAGAGCTTTATCAAGACTTCATTCTGGGTAGAGCTTTATCCAGGTTTCACTCATGGTAGAGCTTTATCCAGGATTCACTCTGGGTAGAGCTTTATCCAGGTTTCACCCATGGTAGAGCTTTATCCAGGCTTCACTCTGGGTAGAGCTTTATCAAGGCTTCACTCTGGGTAGAGCTTTATCCATGTTTCACTCAGGGTAGAGCTTTATCCAGGATTCACTCTGGGTAAAGCTTTATCCAGGATTCACTCTGGGTAGAGCTTTATCCAGGTTTCACTCAGGGTAGAGCTTTATCCAGGTTTCACTCTGGGTAGAGCTTTATCCAGGCTTCACTCTGGGTAGAGCTTTATCCAGGCTTCACTCTGGGTAGAACTTTATCCAGGTTTCACTCAGGGTAGAGCATTATCCAGGCTTCACTCTGGGTAGAGCTTTATCCAGGTTTCACTCTGGGTAGAGCATTATCCAGGCTTCACTCTGGGTAGAGCTTTATCCAGGTTTAACTCAAGGTAGAGCTTCATCCAGATTTCACTCAGGGTAGAGCTTTATCTAGGTTACACTCTGGGTAGAGCTTCATCTAAGTTTCACTCAGGGTAGAGCTTCATCTAAGTTTCACTCAGGGTAGAGCTTCATCCAAGTTTCACTCAGGGTAGAGCTTCATCTAAGTTTCACTCAGGGTAGAGCTTCATCTAAGTTTCACTCAGGGTAGAGCTTCATCCAAGTTTCACTCTGGGTAGAGCTTCATCCAAGTTTCACTCAGGGTAGAGCTTCATCTAAGTTTCACTCAGGGTAGAGCTTCATCCAAGTTTCACTCTGGGTAGAGCTTCATCTAAGTTTCACTCAGGGTAGAGCTTCATCTAAGTTTCACTCAGGGTAGAGCTTCATCTAAGTTTCACTCAGGGTAGAGCTTCATCCAAGTTTCCTCTGGGTAGAGCTTCATCTAAGTTTCACTCAGGGTAGAGCTTCATCTAAGTTTCACTCAGGGTAGAGCTTCATCTAAGTTTCACTCAGGGTAGAGCTTCATCCAAGTTTCACTCTGGGTAGAGCTTCATCTAAGTTTCACTCAGGGTAGAGCTTCATCTAAGTTTCACTCAGGGTAGAGCTTCATCCAAGTTTCACTCTGGGTAGAGCTTCATCCAAGTTTCACTCTGGGTAGAGCTTGATCAAGGCGTCTCTAAGCAAGGTGGTGGACTAATACAAAAAAAAATCTTTGAGTATTCTCCCGGCACTCAGCGAGTACGACTTGATGCCCCAGAGTACAACTAGTGCTACTTACCACCAGTGCCGATACAACTTGATGCCCCCAGAGTACAACTAGTGCTACTTACCACCAGTGCCGATACAACTTGATGCCCCAGAGTACAACTAGTGCTACTTACCACCAGTGCCGATACAACTTGATGCCCCCAGAGTACAACTAGTGGTACTTACCACCAGTGCCGATACAACTTCATGCCCCCAGAGTACAACTAGTGGTACTTACCACCAGTACGATACAACTTGATGCCCCAGAGTACAACTGGTGCTACTTACCACAGTGCCGATACAACTTGATGCCCCAGAGTACAAACTAGTGGTACTTACCACCAGTGCCGATACAACTTCATGCCCCCAGAGTACAACTAGTGGTACTTACCACCAGTACCGATACAACTTGATGCCCCCAGAGTACAACTGGTGCTACTTACCACCAGTGCCGATACAACTTGATGCCCCCAGAGTACAACTAGTGGTACTTACCACCAGTGCCGATACAACTTCATGCCCCCAGAGTACAACTAGTGGTACTTACCACCAGTACCGATACAACTTGATGCCCCCAGAGTACAACTGGTGCTACTTACCACCAGTGCCGATACAACTTGATGCCCCCAGAGTACAACTAGTGCTACTTACCACCAGTGCCGATACAACTTGATGCCCCAGAGTACAACTGGTGCTACTTACCACCAGTGCCGATACAACTTGATGCCCCCAGAGTACAACTAGTGCTACTTACCACCAGTACCGATACAACTTGATGCCCCCAGAGTACAACTAGTGCTACTTACCACCAGTACCGATACAACTTGATGCCCCCAGAGTACAACTGGTGCTACTTACCACCAGTGCTGATACAACTTGATGCCCCCAGAGTACAACTAGTGCTACTTACCACCAGTACCGATACAACTTGATGCCCCCAGAGTACAACTAGTGCTACTTACCACCAGTACCGATACAAATTAAAGCCCCCAGAGTAAAACATGGTACTTCTAGAGTACAACTAGTGATACCACCAGCTCCGGTATAACTTGATGCCCCAGAGTACAAATTGATGCCCTAGAGTACAACATGATGCCCCAGAGTACAACATGATGCCCCAGAATACAATTTGAATCCCCAGATTGCAAATTGGTGCCCCCAGCTACCAGAGGGGTGTGTTAGCTACCGGTGGGGTGTGTTAGCTACAGGTGGGGCGTGTTAGCTACCGGTGGGGTGTGTTAGCTACCGGTAGTGTGTGTTAGCTACAGGTGGGGTGTGTGTTAGCTACCGGTGGTGTGTGTTAGTTACCAGTGGTGTGTGTGTTAGCTACCGGTGGGGTGTGTTAGCTACTGGTGGTGTGTGTTAGCTACTGGCGGTGTGTGTTAGCTGCTGGCGGGGTGTGCTAACTACTGGCGGTGTGTGTTAGCTGCTGGCGGGGTGTGTTAACTACTGGCGGTGTGTGTTAGCTGCTGGCGGGGTGTGTTAACTACAGGCGGGGTGTGTTAGCTACCGGTGGGCAGTGTTAGCTACCGGTGGTGTGTCTTAGCTACCTGTGGTGTGCGTTAACTACCGGTGGTGTGCGTTAGCTACCGGTACGGTGTTAGCAACCGGAGGGGTGTGTTAGCTACCGGTGGTGCGTGTTAGCTACTGGTGGTGGGTGTTAGCTACCGGTGGTGTGTGTGTTAGCTACCGGTGGTGTGTGTTAGCTACCGGTGGTGTGTGTTAGCTACTGGTGGTGTGTGTTAGCTACCGGTGAGGTGTGTTAGCCACCGGAGGGGTGTGTTAGCTACCGGTGGAGTGTGTTAGCTACCGGTGAGGTGTGTTAGCTACCGGTGGTGTGTGTGTTAGCTACCGGTGGGTTGTGTTAGCTACCGGTGGGTTGTGTTAGCTACCGGTGAGGCGTGTTAGCTACCGGTGGAGTGTGTTAGCTAACGGTGGGGTGTGTTAGCTACCGGTGGTATGTGTTAGCTACCGGTGGTGTGTGTTAGCTACCGGTGGGTTGTGTTAGCTACCGGTTGGGCGTGTTAGCTACCGGTGGAGTGTGTCAGCTATTGGTGGGGTGTGTTAGCTACCGGTGGTGTGTGTCAGCTACTGGTGGGGTGTGTTAGCTACCATTGGTATGTGTTAGCTACCGTTTGGGTGTGTTAGCTACCGGTGGAGTGTGTTAGCTACCGGTGGTATGTGTTAGCTACCGGTGGTGTGTGTTAGCTACCGGTGGGTTGTATTAGCTACCGGTTGGGCGTGTTAGCTACCGGTGGAGTGTGTCAGCTACTGGTGGGGTGTGTTAGCTACCGGTGGTGTGTGTCAGCTACTGGTGGGGTGTGTTAGCTACCATTGGTATGTGTTAGCTACCGTTTGGGTGTGTTAGCTACCGGTGGAGTGTGTTAGCTACCGGTGGGGTGTGTTAGCTACCGGTGGAGTGTGTTAGCTTCCTGTGGGGTGTGTTAGCTACCGGTGGTGTGTGTCAGCTACCGGTGGAGTGTGTTAGCTACCGGTGGGGTGTGTTAGCTTCCGGTGGGGTGTGTTAGCTACCGGTGGCGTGTGTTAGCTACTACTGAGGTGTGTTAGCTACCGGTGGTGTGTGTTAGCTACCGGTGGTGTGTGTTAGCTACCGGTGGAGTGTGTTAGCTACCGGTGGTGTGTGTCAGCTTCCGGTGGGGTGTGTTAGCTACCGGTGGCGTGTGTTAGCTACTACTGAGGTGTGTTAGCTACCGGTGGTGTGTGTTAGCTACCGGTGGTGTGTGTTAGCTACCGGTGGAGTGTGTTAGCTACCGGTGGTGTGTGTTAGCTACCGGTGGAGTGTGTTAGCTACCGGTGGGGTGTGTTAGCTTCCGGTGGGGTGTGTTAGCTACCGGTGGCGTGTGTTAGCTACTACTGAGGTGTGTTAGCTACCGGTGGTGTGTGTTAGCTACCGGTGGGGTGTGTTAGCTACCGGTGGCGTGTGTTAGCTACCACTGGGGTGTGTTAGCTACCGGTGGTGTGTGTTAGCTACCGGTGGCGTGTGTTAGCTACCACTGGGGTGTGTTAGCTACCGGTCGGGTGTGTTAGCTACCCGTGGCGTGTGTTAGCTTCTGGTGGAGTTTGTTACCTACCGGAGGGGGCGTTAGTTACCGGTGGGATGTTAGCTACCGGAGGGGTGTATGTTACCTACCGGTGGGGTGTGTTGCCTACCGGTGGGGTGTGTTACCTACCGGTGGGGCATGTTACCTACCGGTGGGGTGTGTTACCTACCGGTGGGGTGTGTTACCTACCGGTGGGGTGTGTTACCTACCGGTGATGTGTGTTAGCTACCGGTGGGGTGTGTTACCTACCGGTGGTGCGTGTTAGCTACCACTGGGGTGTGTTAGCTACCGGTGGGGTGTGTTAGCTACCGGTGGTGTGTGTCAGCTACCGGTGGTGTGTATTAGCTACCAGTGGGGTGTGTTAGCTACAGGTGGGGTATGTTAGCTACCCGTGGGGTGTGTTATCTACCGGTGGGGTGTGTTACCTACCGGTGGTGCGTGTTAGCTACCACTGGGGTGTGTTAGCTACCGGTGGGGTGTGTTAGCTACCGGTGGTGTGTGTCAGCTACCGGTGGTGTGTGTTACCTACCAGTGGGGTGTGTTAGCTACCGGTGAGGTGTGTTAGCTACCGGTGGTGTGTGTCAGCTACCGTTGGGGTGTGTTACCTACCAGTGGGGTGTGTTACCTACCAGTGGGGTGTGTTAGCTACCGATGGGGTGTGTTAGCTACCGGTGGGGTGTGTTACCTACCAGTGGGGTGTGTTAGCTACCGGTGGGGTGTGTTACCTACCAGTGGGGTGTGTTAGCTACCGGTGGGGTGTGTTACCTACCAGTGGGGTGTGTTAGCTACCGGTGGGGTGTGTTACCTACCAGTGGGGTGTGTTAGCTACCGGTGGGGTGTGTTAGCTACCGGTGGTGTGTGTCAGCTACCGGTGGTGTGTGTTAGCTACCGGTGGGGTGTGTTAGCTACCGGTGGGGTGTGTTAGCTACCCGTGGGGTGTGTTAGCTACCAGTGGGGTGTGTTAGCTACCGGTGGGGTGTGTTAGCTACCAGTGGGGTGTGTTAGCTACCGGTGGGGTGTGTTAGCTACCGGTGGGGTGTGTTATCTACCGGTGGGGTGTATTAGCTACTGGTGGGGTGTGTTAGCTACCAGTGGGGTGTGTTAGCTATCGGTGGGGTGTGTTAGCTACCAGTGGGGTGTGTTAGCTATCGGTGGGGTGTGTTAGCTACCAGTGGGGTGTGTTAGCTATCGGTGGGGTGTGTTAGCTACCAGTGGGGTGTGTTACCTACCAGTGGGGTGTGTTAGCTACCGGTGGGGTGTGTTAGCTACCAGTGGGGTGTGTTACCTACCAGTGGGGTGTGTTAGCTACCGGTGGGGTGTGTTAGCTACCGGTGGGGTGTGTTAGCTACCGGTGGTGCGTGCTAGCTACCGGTGGGGTGTGTAAGGGAGGTAAGGTGTTATTTACCGGTACTCTTGTAAATGTTGGTTGAGTCTGCAGTTCTAGAGTTGTCAGGTAGGGAGTTCCATACTTTATGCTCTTATGTACAATGATTTTTTGCATAGATTTAAGCAGACATTAGGAATGTCATAGAGATCCTTTTGTCTGGTATTATGCCTATGGGTCCTGTCACGACTCTCAAGACAGTGTTTTAGTTCAGGGTTAATATGTAATTCATGGTTCTGTAAATGTAGATTGCAGTGTAGTAAGCAAATTTAGATCTTTGAAGAGTATGGTGGGTGTTGCCTAGCATTGGATTGTGTGATAATTCTTACTGTGGCTTTTTGTTGGGTTATTATTGGCTTTAGGTGGGTAATTACTGTTTATCCCCAGGCACAAATGGCATATGTGAGGTAGGGATAGATGAATGAGTAGTATAGTGTGAGTAGTGCTGATTGTGGTGCATAGTAACGTATCTTAGAGAGGAGCACAACAGTTTTGGATACTTATTTTTTGTTATGTGTTGGATATGGGTGCTGAAATTCAGGTTGTTGTCAAGGTGTAGGCCCAGGAATTTGCCCTCATTATGCTTAGCAATAGGACCACTGTCGATCTTAATGTCGAGTTGTGCAACACCTGCTCTGTTACACGACAGAATATAGAAGGTTTTGTTAGTGTTAAGTGTAAGGTTATTGGCTGTCATCCAGGTTGATATTTTCAGGAGCTCTTCGTTAACTATGAGTGAGGCAAGATTTGGGTGTGAGATGACATAAGTCGTGTCATCAACAAAGAAAATGGGTTTCAGGTGTTGTGATACGTTGGGAAGATCATTGATGTATAAGAGGAAGAGCAGGGGACCAAGGACACTTCCCTGTGGCACTCCAGTATCAAGTGGCCGTGTTGATGAGGTTGTATCCTTAATGGAGACGTATTGATACATGTTAGCAAGGTAGGATTTGAAGTATATACGTGCATGGCCTCTTATACCATAATGGTCAAGTTTGTGGAGAAGGATACCGTGGTCTACTGTATCAAAAGCTTTCCTTAGGTCAATAAAGAGTCCTAATGGATATTCCCTATTTTCCACTGCAGTGCAGACCAGCTCTAGCATTTTAACTATTGCATCGTTTGTGTTTTTGTTTTTCCTTAAGCCAAACTGGCAAGGGTTCAGTATGCCTTGTACTTTTACAAACAAATATAGTCGTTTGTGCATGAGTTTTTCGAAGATTTTGGATAGTGACAGTAAGTTTAATATTGGACTGTAATTGTTTACATCTGTGGGGTCACCACCTTTGTGTATTTAGTGTAACTTGATGCCCCCAGAGTATAAGTATGAGTACTTACCACCAGCACCGGCGGCGTTGATGGGTCTTGCGATGCCCCTGGTGCTCATCCTGCCCGAGGTGGTCTTGATGCCCACCACGCCACAAAAGTGGGCAGGAATCCTCACGCTGCCCGCCAGGTCAGTGCCCACCCCCAGCAGCGAGCCCCCAGCACCCACCAGCGCACCCTCCCCACCTGCAACCCACCAACAGAGGTGGGTTAGTGGGTTACACCAGGAAAAATATACAAGGATTATATAAGATCTTTAAAGGACGTCTAACAACGACAGTTGTATTGCAAGACGTATTACAAGACGTATTACAAGACGTATTACAAGACGTATTACAAGACGTATTACAAGACGTATTACAAGACTTTATTACAGTCGTATTGCAAGACGTATTAAAAGGGACGTTTTTGCAAGACGTATTACAAGCCTTTATTGCAAGACGTATTACAAGACGTATTACAAGACGTATTACAAGACGTATTACAAGACGTATTACAAGACGTATTACAAGACGTATTACAAGACGTATTACAAGACGTATTACAAGTCGTATTGCAAGACGTATTACAAGACGTATTAAAAGGGAGTATTACAAGACGTATTACAAGAGTATTCAAGACGTATTACAAAAAGTATTACAAAAAGTATTACAAGCCGTATTGCAAGACGTATTACAAGACGTATTACAAGACGTATTACAAGACGTATTACAAGCTGTATTACAAGACGTATTACAAGACGTATTACAAGACGTATTACAAGACGTATTACAAGACGTATTACAAGACGTATTACAAGCCGTATTGCAAGACGTATTACAAGACGTATTGCAAGACGTATTACAAGACGTATTACAAGTCGTATAACAAGCCGTATTGCAAGACGTATTACAAGTCGTATTGCAAGACATATTGAAAAATGTATTAAAAGACGTATTGAGAAATATATTGTGAGGCGTACTGCAAGACGTAGTATTGCAAGACATATTGAAATATATAATGCAAGAAGTACTTAACGACGTACCGCGGCCTGATATTATAGTCCTTATTTGTATACATATGTATTTGTATATGAATAAACAATAAGCGGTGAAACGACCCGTGGTCGTGCATGGTGGCAGGCACAGTACACTGTCACTGACCTACCAGGCTTTAATACAAAGATTTCAGTCTCCTAGCTCAGTAGTAAATCGCTGTACCTGCTACCTGTACCGTGGACGTGTTTCCTTACACCTGCTGTCTATGTTCACCCATCAGTAAAATAGGTACCTGGGTGTTAGTGGATTGGCGTGGGTCGCATCCTGGGACAAAAATTGACCTGATTTGCGGGAAATGTTCAGCATAACAAGCGGCTTTCTATATAGTAGTGATGTTATTGATGTTAACTAGGACTGTATACCTTGTACATGTACTGGTAGTAAATAATGATATTATTATTATTATAATGGTGATGGTGCTGGTGGTGCTGGTGGTGCTGGTGGTGCTGGTGGTGCTGGTGGTGCTGGTGTGCTGGTGGTGTGGTTGGTACTGGTGGTACTGGTGGTGCTGGTGGTGCTGGTGGTGCTGGGGGGTACTGGTGGTACTGGTGGTGGCTGGTGGTGCTGGTGGTGTGGTGGTGCTGGTGGTGCTGGTGGTGCTGGTGGTGCTGGTGGTGCTGGTGGTGCTGGTGGTACTGGTGGTACTGGTGGTGCTGGTGGTGCTGGTGGTGCTGGTGGTGCTGGTGGTGCTGGTGGTGCTGGTGGTGTGGTGGTGCGGTGGGTACTGGTGGTGCTGGTGGTGCTGGTGGTGCTGGTGGTGTGGTGGTGCTGGTGGTGCTGGTGGTGCTGGTGGAGGTGGTGGTGGTGGTGGTGGTGGTTGGTGGTTTGAGATGGTGGTGGTGGAGGAAGGGGGGAGGTGGAGAATAGACCCTCACAACCACAAATAGGTGAATTCAAGAAGGCAAGGCAGACGTAACTCAGTAGAACACAAGACTGAGGTGAACACAGAACACAAGACTGAGGTGAACACAGAACACAAGATGAGGTGAACACAGAACCCCAAGATGAGGTGAACACAGAACACAAGACTGAGGTGAACACAAACACAAGACTGGGGGTGAACACAGAACACAAGACTGAGGTGAACACAGAACACAAGACTGAGGTGAACACAGAACACAAGACTGAGGTGAACACAGTAGAACACAAGACTGAGGTGAACACAGAACACAAGACTGAGGTGAACACAGAACACAAGACTGAGGTGAACACAGAACACAAGACTGAGGTGAACACAGAACACAAGACTGAGGTGAACACAGAACACAAGACTGAGGTGAACACAGAACACAAGACTGAGGTGAACACAGAACACAAGACTGAGGTGAACACAGTAGAACAGACTGAGGTTTAACACAGAACAAAGACTGAGGTGAACACAGGGAGAACACAAGGACTGAGGTGAAACAGAACACAAGACTGAGGTGAACACAGAACACAAGACTGAGGTGAACACAGAACACAAGACTGAGGTGAACACAGTAGAACACAAGATGAGGGAACACAGAACACAGGACTGAGGTGAACAGTAGAACACAAGACTGAGGTGAACACAGAACACAAGACTGAGGTGAACAAAAGTAGAAAACAAGACTGAGGTGAACACAGAACACAAGACTGAGGTGAACACAGTAGGGAAAACAAAACTGAGGTGAACAAGAACACAAGATGAGGTGAAAAACAGTAGAACACAAGACTGAGGTGAACACAGAACACAAAATGAGGGGGAACACAGTGAACACAAGACTGAGGTGAACACAGAACCAAAACTGAGGTGAACACAGTAGAACACAAGACTGAGGTGAACACAGTAGAACACAAGACTGAGGTGAACACAGAACACAAGACTGAGGTGAACACAGTAGAACACAAGACTGAGGTGAACACAGAACACAAGACTGAGGTGAACACAGTAGAACAAGACTGAGGTGAACACAGAAAAACAAGGGCTGAGGTGAAACAGTAGAACACAAGACTGAGGTGAACACAGTTTGAACACAAAGACTGAGGTGAACACAGAACACAAAACTGAGGTGAACACAGTAGAACACAAGACTGAGGTGAACACAGAACACAAGACTGAGGTGAACACAGTAGAACACAAGACTGAGGTGAACACAGAACACAAGACTGAGGTGAACACAGTAGAACACAAGACTGAGGTGAACACAGTAGAACACAAGACTGAGGTGAACACAGAACAGAAAACTGAGGTGAACACAGTAGAACACAAGACTGAGGTGAACACAGAACACAAAACTGAGGTGAAACAGTAAACACAAGACTGGTGAACACAGTAGAAACCAAGACTGAGGTGAACACAGAACACAAAACTGAGGTGAACACAGTAGAACACAAGACTGAGGTGAACACAGAACACAAGACTGAGATGAACACAGTAGAACACAAGACTGAGGTGAACACAGTAGAACACAAGACTGAGGTGAACACAGTAGAACACAAGACTGAGGTGAACACAGTAGAACACAAGACTGAGGTGAAACGTAGAACACAAGACTGAGGTGAACACAGTTTGAACACAAGACTGAGGTGAAACACAGAACACAAGACTGAGGTGAACACAGAAACAAGGGCTGAGGGGAACACAGAACACAAGACTGAGGTTTAACACAGTAGAACACAAGACTGAGGTGAACACAGTAGAAACACAAGGACTGAGGTGAACACAGAACACAAGGGCTGAGGTGAACACAGAACACAAGACTGAGGTGAACACAGTAGAACACAAGACTGAGGTGAACACAGAACACAAGACTGAGGTGAACACAGAACACAAGGCTGAGGTGAACACAGTAGAACACAAGACTGAGGTGAACACAGTAGAACACAAGACTGAGGTGAACACAGAACACAAGATTGAAGTGAACACAGTAGAACACAAGACTGAGGTGAACACAGAACACAAGACTGAGGTGAACACAGAACACAAGGCTGAGGTGAACACAGTAGAACACAAGACTGAGGTGAACACTCACCTGATGATCCACCACAGGTGCGCTGGGTGTTGGCTGGGTTAAGAGTGACTCCCCACACTGGGTTACTACAGCCGTAACTGCAAGTGTTCTCTGGTGAACATTATGAACACCAGACACACTCAATGTTCAACACGTGATAATACCCGTGACACACAGACACACACCCCACACACACACAACACACACACACACACACACACAACACCCCACACACACACACGCACCACACGCCACACACCACACACACACCAACACACACACACCACACACCACACACAAAACCCCACCCCACACACACACACACCCCACAACACACCCCACACACACACCACACACACACACAACCCCACACACACACACACACAAAAACACACACCCACACCACAACCCAACACACCCCACACACACCACACACAAACACACACAACCCACACCACACACACACACACAAAACCACACACACACACACACACACACACACACCACCAACACACACACACACCCCACACCACACACCACACACACACACACACCCCACACACACACCACAAAAACACACACCCCACACACACCCACACACACACACCACAACACACACACACACAAAACACACACACACACACACACCACACAAAACACAACCACAAAACACACACCACACACACCCACCACACACCACACACAACACACCCAACACACACACACACACACACACACCACACACAACCACACACACACAACAACACACAAAACACACACACACACAACACACACACCACACACACACACACCCAACACACACCACACACACACACCCCACACACCCCACAAACACACACACACACACACAACACACACACACACACACACACACACACACACACACACACACACACACAACACACACACCACAAAACACACACCACCACACAACACACACACACACACACACACACAAAACACACACACACACACCAAAACACACACACACACCACAACACACACACCTTCATTTTTCCATATTTTAAAATTCACACAATATTAATTTTTTAATCAATTATTCTGTTAAAAATTCAGTTTAGAGACAAAGTTTGATTTCCAACACAATACAACATTAATCTTGTTACTTATATACTGCAGCTTAACCTTCAAATACAACCTTCATAACACTTAGGACCACAATAGAAATAAATCACTCTGTCTAACTTTTCTGGGTTATCTTATGTTCTCTATACATATGTTGCTATGTATGATAATCTATGTAAGTGTATTTGTGTATACCTGAATAAACTTACTTACTTAGTACTGATCTCAATATGAATATTAGTTCAGGGTTATATAAATTAGATTAATTTATAATAAATAGAATGCCTGATATATATGAGCAGGATTTCCTCTCACTATTTAACTGTCGTGTAGAATAGGGCAGCAGCACATTGCTTATGTATCATTTTTTTAACGGAAATTGCAATCCAATTATTTCCCAAGGCTCTCTTTGACCTTTACGGTTTTAGCGCTTTCCAGTGAATGCCTTCTCTCACCTGACACACAGCTGCGATACGTTGGTCTTGCAGAAAGGGACAGCCCCCTGGGCACGAAGAGCCTGGACCACAGCAGCGTGGCAGAGGGCTGGACGGTACAACCTCTTGGCAAGACCCATGGTCGAGTCCCGCCCCTCCACGTCGATGGTATCCTTCAAACTCACTGGCAACCCGAAGAGCGGCAGGGTTCTGGTCTCTGGCGGCGCCGCCTCCAGCTCCGTCGCCCACTCCTGCAGGCACCGCAGTATATATAACTGTGGGTCTCACATGCAAAACCCCAAAAAGAAACTTTGTCTTTTTCCTGAAAATCTTACCTAACCTAACCTTCTGGTTCAACACACAAAACAGTACCTCTGGTGGAAAAATGGTTTACAATCGACGAGTTGAAGATTGAAAGTTTCCCCAATAGTGGCTTCATCAGCCCAGTAAAAAAGCAAAAAGGGTTAAAGGAGAGGAGAATTTTGGGGTTTTATCAGCCTCAGCCTGGAGTCGAGTGTTTCACTTTCCAAGTTTGATGGACTGAACACTAGACTCCAAAAAGAGTGACTGATTACCCAAACCCCTCCTCCCCTTACACCTTTCTCTTTTAATGAAAAATAAAGCCCTGTGTGGCGAAACGTTTCTTCAAAAAAGATTCCCTGTTTGTAAGTTTAAAATTTTCCCCCGCCCTTGCCTGTGGGTAAACTCTGTGCACATTTTTAGGCGAAAGTCACCACGAGGGCCCTGTCGGGAGAAAAAACACTGTGGGGTATAAGGTTGTACGGGCCTGGGCCCATGACGAGCGCGTTCTGTATTATTCAAACCCCATAAATTACAGATTTTTTCACTTGTGTTTGCAATTTTCGTCAAGAGCTTCAACTTTTTTTCGTGAAGCAGAATGTGGTTTGAAAACGTCAGAAGACAAAACATAAGTTGGACAACAGCTTTTGTCTGAAAAGTTTGCTTTGTAGGTTTAAAGTTTTTGATAAATCTCTTTTTAGAGTGAAAAGACTTTCATCCTGCCTATTGGATTTACGAGATGATGACATTAGTGAGACGGGTCTCTCAGAGACTGACCTTGACCTGGAAGAGACTGACCTTGACCTGGAACAGACTGACCTTGACCTGGAACAGACTGACCTTGGCCTGGAACAGACTGACCTTGACCTGTTACAGACTGACCTTGGCCTGGAACAGACTGAACTTGACCTGGAACAGACTGACCTTGGCCTGGAAGAGACTGACCATGACCTGGAAGTGTCGGGAGGGTTCGTGGAGATGTAATGGTTGGAGTTAAACACAGTCGTTGGATGGTAGCACATATATTAACAAAGTGTGAGAGGGAGAGGCCCAACCTGCCTGTGTTGGCTGTAGACCTAAGCGTGGAGAACTGAGGACGAGGCCGGAAGCGCAGCGCTCTCATGCAGCATCACGTGACGTCACACAAGCTAGTCACTGAGCCTAGCAAGGGGTCAATTACGTAAAACATATGGATGGTACTAACTATGATACTCAGATAACATACATATACAGGGGATCAGCAACTATGCTGACAGAAGAGACTGACCTTGACCTGGAAGAGGCTGACCTTGGCCTGGAAGACACTGACCATGGCCTGGAAGACACTGACCTTGGCCTGGAAGAGACTGACCTTGGCCTGGAAGACACTGACCTTGGCCTGGAAGAGACTGACCTTGACCTGGAAGACACTGACCTTCGCCTGGAAGAGACTGATCTTGGCTTGGAAGAGACTGACCTTGACCTGGAAGAGACTGACCTTGACCTGGAAGAGACTGACCTTGGCCTGGAAGAGACCGACCTTGGCCTGGAAGACACTGACCTTGACCTGGAAGAGACTGACATTGGCCTGGAAGAGACTGACCTTGGCTTGGAAGAGACTGACCTTGGCCTGGAAGAGACTGACCTTGACCTGGAAGAGACTGACCTTGACCTGGAAGAGACTAACCTTGGCCTGGAAGGCCCTGAGCACGTGTGTTGGGGCAAGCTGACCATCCCTGAGCCTGTGAAGGAGTGTGCTTGGAGGCAGGGACAATATGGAGATCCTCTCCTCCGTCAGTAGTTCTCCAGCATCGTTGAGTTTGGCCTCCAGGCGGTCCAGAGCACCTCGCACCTCCGCCTGACGTCGATCTACAGAGTCCTGAAGCTTCTCCTATAGAATTATTGTTATTTATTATCATTTCAAGGTAGATACATGTACCCTTCCTGGCAGCTGGTCTGATTACCTCCCATCCCACAGGTGTTATGTAACTCATACGATTGTAATCACACAGAAAAAATCCTAATTCAGTTTTGCTAGTTTTTCGTTTCTTTCAATTTTCCTCTATTTATAATCTTCCTTATGATTTACAGTTCCTCCAGCCTACTTATGATTTAAATCTGCCTTGATCAGTGGTTTTGCCTTAGTCCTGCGCCTTATGTTCATACGGATTTGGTGCTTGTTTCGAATATACTGTAATAAAGCAAAATGATTATAATTATAACCTAAGTTTTGAAGGGGTGAACTTGTAAGCCAGAGGAAGGCCTCGGTCCCATGACCAAAACCTTCAGCGGCGGGTCATCATATGACTAAGACACTCGTCAGGAAACACTTGTCTTGTTTCCTGACAAACCTTACCTAACCTAACCTAACCTAACCTAACCTAACCTAACCTAACCTAACCTAACCTAACCTAACCTAACCTAACCTCACCTAACCTAACCTTACCTAACCTAACCTAACCTCACCTAACCTAACCTTACCTAACCTAACCTAACCTAACCTAACCTAACCTTACCTTACCTTACCTTACCTTACCTTACCTTACCTTACCTTACCTTACCTAACCTAACCTAACCTAACCTAACCTAACCTAACCTAACCTAGCCTAGCCTAACCTAACCTAACCTAACCTAACCTATCCCTGTAATTTGCCTTCATTCTATTCAATGTGTTCCAACTTCAAGGATTTGTGCCTCAACTCTTGTTTACCTCGGACTTTTTCATGGCTGTTTTATGCTTTATTAGGACATAAGAGAGATGGCCAGGATGGAGAGGGGAAGAACTGGGAGAGCATGGAGCAATGAAAAGGTTGTAGGTAGACAGGAAGAGAAAAGTAAGATGGTTGTAGATAGACAGAAAGAGAGAAGTAAGATGGTTGTAGGTAGACAGAAAGAGAGAAGTAAGAAAGATTTAGTAGCCTGACTACTCTGGGGAGAGTTTAAACAGAATGTTTTGAGTCACACAGCGATGAGTATTTTGAGTGATGAAGACTGTAAACTTGTGTTATATCCAGACCTAACTTGCTCTTGTGCTCAGTATTGTTGTTGTGTCTACTCTTGTACCTCCACATTATATTTATTAAACAGTTGTGTTGAGGGGACGGTTTTGGGGTGTGTGTGGTGTGTGTGTGTGTGGGATTATGTGGGTGTGAATGTGGTTTGGGTGTGGTAGTGTGAGTGCTCGAGTGTGAAACGAGAGATCATTCTTGCCTCGGGTGTGAGCAAAACATGCCAGCCTAGATGAAGACAGCTGACAGCAGTCCCTGAAAA